CAACGTCTGAAGCAAACAATAAAGAGCAGAGGAAAGCACTCGTTCATACCCTGATATTAAATCATCCACATGGCCCTCTGAATGTGTCATCAGGAACACAAAATGAGCTCTTGGTTAATTAGCAATGCTCTAGTGCTTCATTGTTAGAGTGGGTGTATTGAATTTGGAAGAGATCTTTACAAATTTTTTTTTATTATTTTGCCCAAAATTTTCAACATGTGTTATTTGCATAAACTAAGTTATTTATAATTTTGGAAGAAGAAAAATACATGGTTTTTTAAAGTTTAAGAAAACAATTTCTTATCCTCTCGCTCTCTAATAATTAATAAGGTCCAAACTTCTTAACAAGACTGTGAGCTCTGTCGTCTCTCCTACCTGGTTGTTTTGCCTCCATTTTATCGGAGAGCTTTCACATTCCCTGGTAGCGTTTGTTCTCTCTTTTCCCTGGGACACTGCCCACGTTGTCCTCTTTCTGCCTGTGATGGCTTCTCGTCCCCTTTCTCTGCTTCCTAAGTGCCCTCCTGTCCTGACTAATTTAATACCACATTGTCCTCAGGACTCAGATGAGATTTTACTTCTTCCAGAAATCTCCCTTGAACATAAACCCACAGAGGGATGATGCCCTTGCTATGATGTCCACACCCTCTGATGATCCCGCATCAGAGCTCTAACAATGGGTTGTTAGAATGCTTTCTTTAAATACTACTTTTCCCCACGAGGCCATGAAACAGGACTGTGCCGACCATATTAGCAAGTTTATGTCTCAGGCCCCCTACAGTAACTGCCAAGTAAGTATTACTTGAATTAATGAATACATGGAGATTGCCAGTGATTTATGTTGAGAATAACTATATCAGTCAGCTATCACTGCATAACGCACTGCCCCAGAGCTCAGTGGCACATTCATAGCCCTGCAGTTATCTCTGATGACTCTGCGGCAACCTGCACGTCATATCAGTCCTCCGTTGCTCTCAGCCGTACCCTCATCTCATGTTAACAGCCCTACACAGCAGTCATGTATCAAAATCCTGTGCACTTTCACCCCCCAGAGCCTTCTCTGCCAGAGTACAAGTGCAGTTCAGAAGTGGCGGGGACACCCCCAGGAGAAGACCACAACCAGCGCAGAGCAGGAGCCTTAAGATCAATGCTCCAGCCTCCTTGCCCTTTATTGGACAAGTCTGGGGGGCACGACACTGTCCCAGGAGAACTGAGCCCCACTGAGCACAGTGCTGACCCATGGAAACACACTCTCACCTTGGATTTTCCTATTGCTCTTTCTCACTCCCCCTACTTCCTCATTCCTTCTTCCTGGAAGAACCTCCCAAACAAACTACCTTAACACAAGTTCTCATCTCAGGCTTGGCTTTCGAGAGGCCTCACATGAAGACAGATGACACAAGGGCATGGTTTTTAACCCATCTCTCAGCTCTGTTGACTCACTATTGGTTCCATTCCAAGAGGTCTCTCCCCAGAGCTCCTGAAAAACAGTGTGAGTCACTCTGCTCCATGTCCACTTTGAGCTGAATCCTGTGGCCCAGGTGTTGGAATGTCCCTGTTAGCCAAGGCTGAGTCACATGCTTATCCAGGGTGGGAGGGTATGGGCAGCCCCTCCAATGTCACACATGCAGATAGGTAGGGTACGTTTCCACGGAAAATCAGGGTTAGATTACAAAAAGGAGAATAAACACTAGTTAGATTAAACAACAGATACTCATTAAGAAAGTCACCAGAGTCCCCCCTCTCTATGGGAAGCATCTATCCTCTCCATAGATAGCACAGGTGGCTCTGACAGCAGAAATGAGTGAGGAGACCACAGCATTTTTACAAGGGGAGTGATATTATTGACTATTGGTGTTGGAAATGGCCTGGAAAATTATTTCACTCAAACTTCTCAAGTACTGGAGAAGAAGTTCAGAGAGGGATTAGGCCCATTTGCTCGGTTGTCCAGCCAACGACTGGCAGTTCTGTATGGTGCACGCGAGACTCTGACTTTCCAGAGCTGGGCTAATTACCCCCGCAAACATCATGGTGGGCCTGACTGTCCACCCTCCGTTATGGCAGCTGCTTCCTCGGTGAGCCTGAGCACAGTAAATTGGAAGGACTGCAGAATTATGTTTCCAAAACACCACATTGTTATAAAACTGAGAGCCTTGGCTCGAAGACAGGTCCTTTCCCTTCCTGGATCTACTAATTCCGCCCATTAAGTCTAATCTGTGTCTACAAAGAAAAATGCTCACTCCTGGTTTACTTAGCTTACAAGGCTCTATTTCTTTTCACACACGGAGTGCCTGAGACAGTCCCTGACTCGGCTCTCAGCCTGCTTTCTTGATGACTTAGGAAATAATAGAGAAAGGAAGATTGAATGGAAGGAAAAACAGATTTGGCCAGAAGCTTTCACAGCAGAAGAGGGCTGCTCCTTGCTTTTCAAGTACCAGCCAGCTAGGGGTTGGATGGGCAGGAAGTGGGGTGATGGGGAGATGCAGATAAGGGTGTTTGGGGGAGGGGCATCCGCGTTTGCAGTAAGGACAAAGGGACTGAGCTGAATGAATACGTAAGTCAGAGAAGACCTGATTAGGGTAAAAAATATAATATAAGTATGAACATCCTTGACAGCATAAAGTGTTGTCTACAAAATGAGACTATGGGGGTGGGAGGGAGCAGTGGAAGAAAGGAAGGACAGGCTAAATTTAAGACACTATCAAAAGGAACCAAAAAAAAAAATTAAGCTTATTATTAGAGTTACAGAGGCAGCTGCCGGAACTGAAAGCATAGTAATCATAGTACTATGAAACGCTGGGAAGAGGACAGGGTGAGAAGGGAGGAAAACAATAAATCAAGAAATACAGTTTCAAATGCAATCCTTAGACTAATGGAGGCCAGGCACAGAATTCATATAAGCAGAAATGGAATGGAGAAGAGGCCGTGTCTGAGCAGTGGGGTTAGGAGTCGGGGGAGGGCAGATTCGGTCCCCTACGAGCCTTTAGGTGCTATCGGAATCGTTACCGTGTGTACCCATTGCTTTGAGATTTGAAAAACAAATGCCATACATCAGCAGTTACCCCATGAACATGGACTGTGCACCCCTTCTGTGCCAGCCCCTGCCCTGGGGGTTAGAATTAGAAGATAAATAAGGCAGAACAACAGCTTAAGTGTTAGAATGAGGAAATCTTTCTGGTTGGGACAAGTACCAGAAGGGCATGGAGGAGATTTCGCAGAGGTGACATAGGTTGTGGCTACTGTTGACTGGCAAAAGTAACTCTCCAAATAATCCACAAAAGAATGGTTTATTTGGGAAAAGAAAAAGAAACAAAAATCAGCATGGCAGTGCAGGAACGCATATCTCCAACCCATGGCTCCAACTGGCCGCCCACGTGAGAAAGAAGTACCTAGGTTCCAAGATGGCTAGTCCATTGATTATCATCCCTTCCTGGGAAGGTACCACAAAGTTACACAGGAAGTCAAGATTACAGTTAACAAGGGGCCCAGCTCCACCCAAAGTCCTCCCAGCTATACGGTTAAACATCTTAAGATGCCAGTTCACTTTCATCACTACTGAAAAAGGAAGAAGGATCTACGAAACAAACAATGCAGCGAGGCCACTAGAGGCAGAGAGATCAGGGTACCCCACATACTAGAGGCGTGGGATGCAATGACTCTGAGCAACTTCAAATTGTGCAGTATCACTGGTGTTCTCAGCGCTGGCTTATGATGCTGCAGGGACAAATGTGCCCAAATCAGGAAGGGCCCGTTATGCCACATGAGGGGGCTTGAATTGTATTCTGCAAACCAGGGGTCACAAACTCAGATACGTAGGACAATAGTTGGGAAGATAATGGAAATAAGAGAAGAGGAAAGAGAAAGACAGAGGTGGGTGAGGGGGCACAGGTCCGCGTGGGCACGAGGCACAGCAGATGGCTGCCACCCAAGTATTCCAACCCAATATTAGAGATAGCCTAGTTTTTCAAATAAAGCTAGAATTCAAGATTTTTATGTGAAATCTCTTAATTTTAAAATACAGACAACTTTATTGGTCAGGCTGTGCTATGCTGTGCTGTGGTAACAAGAAAGCTCCCAGGGCTCTGTGGTTTATTTCTCCCTCCCACAAAGTCCAATCTGGGTACGATATCTCTCGTCCCACTGTACATATGTCAGCACGATCCCACGGTCTTGGAGGTCATTGATGCAAGAGAGGAGGAAGTGTATTGCCTCTTAACAGCCTTGGCAGCTGACATCCATGGGCTGGAGTGAGTGACCTGCCCTCGATCTAATTTAAAAAGAGACGACGAAGTACCACAACACACGCGGGTATTTGACGAGCCCCAAACTATGTCTGCCACACAGCAAGCAATGCACATGTTATCCTTAAATACCACGCGGTCTATTTATAATGATTGGTTTTGGCAGAGAAGTGGCAGTTGAAGATCTCTGCCATAGTCAAGGATGGGAGAGTCTTAAAATAATACCACATTTTCATTTTACAAAAAAATAATTCCAGGAACAGCAAGAAGAGTTGACTACAGGAGGTAATACTGGAGAAAGGATTGTTTACAAAATTGCCCTGGGGGGCAATACCAAAGCCCTGAAACAGAACGGGAACAGTTGGAGTAGAAGAGAAAGGATGCTCATACGTGGTATTAACTCTCTCACCTTACAAAGAAACGGGGGTACCCACAATGCTTCTGTGAATTGCCCAGCGTTGCAAAGTTAACAAGCTGCTGTCCAGAACATCTCTTAGTCCCGCACGCTTTTTATTACATCGGTGGAATGGTAGAAAGGAACACTAATGGAAATATAACATCTTTGACTTTGAGAATTAGGCTTTGGGGAGCTTATCTAATGCAAACACTCCACGCCATTGGATTTTGTTCATAACTGATTTTAAATGTGAACCTCCTCAAGGATATTACTTTCTTCTTAACTTATAAGACCTGCCAATGGGCAAACATCAAACGGATAATGTATTCATTTTTTAACCTTGATTTAGACTTTCTTCCTCTTACCTTCTGGGAAATCCTCAGCTTCAGAAAGAAATGTTTTTATCTTTCTCACCTCTAAGCGTGTCCTGGTGCTGGCACAGTAAGCAGTCTCATCAGCACGGCTCCCAACCATCTGTGATGAGATTTCTTCGGGAGGGTTCACCTCAGTCTCTAATGCTCAGAAGTAGTTAATCCACTTGAGCCTTAAGCAGAAAGGAAATAGAGAAAGAAAAAGCGTTGGGAAAGAGGGAGTGTAAGGGTGTGTGGGAGAGAAGACAGATTAAATGGAGCAGTGCTTTCTCGCCCTAAAGCTTCAAAACATGAGAACATAACGCATCTGTGTAGCGGCACATAAAAACTTAATGTTAAGTCAAAAGTTCTAATATTAATTACACAGAGACTTTATAGCAGGCACGGACAGGGCTGGTCATTTTATCTAAGCATTTGAGTTCAGCTGCCCTGTTTCCCAGTCGGTGGCTGATACTATCTATCCCCATTTTACAAATGAGCAAACTGAAACTCAGAAATGCACCAAGTCACAAGCTACCAGAGAATCCTTGCTATTTAAAGCAAAAGTCTGAATTTTTGCTCCTCCAAAATCTTATGTAACGGTCTTATATTTAGAATCCAAGTGCTTTTGTTTATCGAGTATTTACCCGGAACCCCAAACTCTGCCACAGTTCATTTCATTTAATCCTTAAAATAATCCCATGAGGTCAGTGTTACGTTAATTATTTCAACAAAGAAAACTGAAGCACACACTGAAGAGAAGGAAACGCGTGGGTTTCATTCTGGGCGCCCGTTGAGACACAGGACAGGAACTCAACTTCCTGAGAAACTGGACCTCTTCATTTCGCTGGTTTTCTACTCTCTTTGGGAAAATCTTCCTGATAATGAGTCTGTAGATTTCCTCGTCTTTTCTGGTTTTTGTCTCTTGGCCTGGAGAAGCTACGGAAAGTGTCTATTTTGGAGGAAAGTCATTTTAAATATGATGCCCATTTGGGGACATATTTATCATCAGTGTGTATCCTTGCACCAGCAGCAGAAGGCATATGTTAACAGAACAGCTCATATAATGATGTGCTACAGAGTCATGACTTTGGTGAAAAGGTAAATAGGTCTGGGTGTGACGTTGATCTCTGGGGCATCCTTGTTATGAACATTTGAGCAAACATTTAAAACTTTATGATTTTCACATACAAACACCATCATTGGGTCATAATCCCAGTGGATTAAACATCTGGATGATATAGTCACAAGGCTGAAAATACGATAAAAAACATTTCCTACCAATGTAAAGCCATGGGAAAATGTGATCCATAGACATAAAGCAGCCAATAGAAACAGTCCTGAGATAATTCAGATGTTGGAATTAGCAGACAAGATCGTTAAAATAGCTATTAAATATTATGCTCATGGAGAGGGTAAACATATGAGTAACTAGATGGGGACTCTTAGAAGAATAGTGGAAACAATAGACAAGAGCCAAATGAAAAATCTAGACCTGAATAGTACAATTTCAGAAATGAAAAATTCACTGAATTCTGAGATATTTGTCTACCTATTGTACCAAATACGGAGAAAAGGATGCTTAAAATCTCCACTATGATTATAAATACATACATTTTAACTTTAGTATTATCATATTTTCTTTTTTAACATTTGAAACTCTTATTAGAGACAGAGGTGTGATAGATAATTTTATGTCAACTTGGCTGGACCATGAGGTGCACAGATATTTGATCAAACTCTATTCTGGGTGTTTCTGTGAGGTTATCTTTGGATGAGTTTAATATTGAAATGGATATACTGAGTAAAGAAGGTTGCCTGCCCTGACGTGGGTATGCCTCA